CCATTTTAGACAAATGATCACTACTGTTGCCGGTGGCAATAGCTATGGGCACCCGGTGTTTGTGTAGGTGCTTAACCAGTCGCTCCACTCCCGGTATAAGTTGAGCCTCTTTTAGGTATAGCTGTCGTATAAACTCTTTATGTACGGCCGGCCGGTCTATGGACTCATTCCGGGGTAAGTCCAGGGAATCAATCACTTTGTCAAAGAATATGGGTATAGATGTCAGGTTTGCCACTCCTCCTAGTTTTCGAAATGTGGAGAATTTAGTGGCGTTTATATATTAGTTTATAATAAATTATAAAATTATTTTATTATTTATTTTATCAAAAATTATTATGGTTTTATAATTAAAAATTAAAATTATTATTTTAATTTACTGTTAATTAAATTTATTTTTAACTTTAAATAATATTGTAGCCAAAATAAATTATTAATACTTTTATTTATAAATTATTAAAAGTTTATTAAATGTTATGAATAGTGAATATTTAATTAAAATAATGTAAATAATATAATGCATAATTGATAACATAATCACTTACTCTCGATATCATTTGAAAGAATTTTTCCATAGCTTTGTGCGAATTCACGGAACACTTCAATCAATATATCGATTGTATTGACTAGAGTTCCGTCCAAATCAAACAATACGTGTGTTATTTTGTGAGACATTTTGTGTTTTAATTATATCTAGTTCACAATACTATAATAATTCACTTTATATACTAATTCTTTTCCAGACTAATATTTTTAATATACCGTTATTATACTGTATATTAAATTTGCTAAAATATTTTTATAACTTTTTTTATAACACCTTTGATTTAAACCAAATGATATAATAATTCTTATACAGATTAGTTATGATATTAAAATAAATGACTTTACAAATAAAAAATTTTTATTATTACATTTGTAGATATAGTTACTGTACTTTAATGTAATTTTAAATGATAAAAATAATGATAAAAATTCCATCAGGTTGTTGCGCACCTGATTTGAAAGTGTCATATAATTCTTGATATATTAAATTAACTAATTTAATAAATTGATCTGATTTTGCGTTACTACTTACAGTTTAACTAAATATTCAAAGAATTTACCATAATTCAATATACCTTAAAACTTAAGTTTCTATGAGTTATTTTAATATAAGGTAAAAATTTGGTAAATTTTTTTGATTTATAAATTATAATGTATAATAGAGGTATACTAAAAACCCTTATAATATATTTTATAATGATAAAGCATTATATACCCTTATTGCTATAGAATAAATTGTAATCATTGTTAGGGAAATTAATAATTTATAATAATATTAAATAATAAATTTTAAAGTTGTTTGCAAAGTATTCATATAATGTTTTATGGATTTTATATACAGTATTTGTGGATTTATGTTCAACAGATAATATGAAGTTAAAATTTAATTAATTGAAACATTTAGCATCTGTTATCTCGATTAAATGTGGTTAAAATTAGTGTGTGTATTTTAGAAAATAAATTTTTGCGTAAAATGGTTAATTTGTTTAATATATTTTGAATCTACAATAATTTAAAAAATTATGATATCTATTATAAAATGATATATATTATAATTCACAATCAACAGATGACACTGGTATTGCTGTTGCATAAAAGTAGCATAAAGTTAATTGTTTTTGTAAAACAAAAGTTATTAAAAGTTATTAAAATCTAGATAATACTATACAGTATGTAAAACAATATAGGTTGCTTGTGATTTTATGTTTACCTGAATAATATTTAATATTCAATAGAAACTTAAGTTTTAAGGTATATTGAATTATGGTAAATTCTTTGAATATTTAGTTAAACTGTAAGTAGTAACGCAAAATCAGATCAATT